CTATAAGAAGATTTAACTTTTATGAATGAATTTCTGTTAACATGATGCATTATAAAATTTGGTATTCAATTATGTGTCAGTTTTAAGGCTCTTAGATGCACTACAAAATATTACTAAGTTCGACCATACAAATTATGATTCAAGTCTTTATTCGATATCTCCTATATCTGACTCTATAACGGGCTAACATCTGTCAATTGACGACAAAGTTCATGAATAGAATTACATACATACAAACCAAGGGGAAAACAGCATGATGTAAAAAGTTTTTGGTGTAAAACTCTTACTGCAAGATAAGATCAAAAGTTTGGCAGTAAATTGGTAAATTGGTAAATTTCTCATTGTGCTGTTTTCTCCTGAATGCAGAGTTGTCCAAACTTTGTGCCGCGGCACACAAGTGTGCACTAGTTTTTTTTTTGAAAATGGCTCGAGCCACATACTGTATTCGACTTCGGTCATGACTTACTCTTTAGATGTGCCGTGGCTGAAAAAGATTTGGACAACACTGCCTTAATGCATTGAGCGTTAGTCAAAGCCGAACTATCCAACAAACATAAATAATATATTCACCAGAGCCTATAAAAAAAATCCCTGTGACGCAACAAAAAATCTATAAAAAATCCCTTTGTAAGAAATCTATCAAAAAAACTAGTTCCTTTTCATCAAGATATTTCCTCGCATGCCTACCCTTTTCAATGAAATCAAAATTCTTATGAAAACAATTTTTCAACAAATCTGAATGAAACATGCTAGTTCATTTTCAATTTAGATCTTTCTCAACTTTTTTGACAACCTCAATATTCCTTATTATTTTACTTCTTACTTACACACATATTTTCATGTCATATATGCTCTATTCATTCATTCTGCGCAATTTATGATCTCACATAGAAAAACTTTTCAATATTCAAGTAAAAAAAAAGGGAAACTTTTCATATTATTGCATGAAGGAACGATGACTTTGAAGATTTTGAATGCACGAGAATGAATGGAAACTACTTTATACCTCAAACTAATAACATTATACATCGTCAAGTTGAGGGAGGTAGCAGCAAACATCAGAAATAATAGAATGCACTAAAATGGTTTTGATGATGTGTTATTGATGAAGGAAGTAATGTATATGATGTGGGTGGCATAACAGTCTCGTGGAATGCAAGCACACAGCACGTTATATTAGCTAGGTATTTATGGTGTGTTGATGAATGCATGAAAGGAATTTTGTTGGATACATGACGTTATATGAATTTTGAATGGAATACGAGAATTAGCTTGGTTCCAAGAAAATGTAGCAATTTTCATTGAAATTTTGACAAGTTAGGGTGCGTCTGATATTTGAGATGTGAGTATTTTAGAAAATGTCAATTCAATAAATGCAATGTCTTTAGCTTCATGCCGATTCTTGTCATTTTGATTGAAATCCGTTCAATGATTTAAAGAATTTTTTTTTTTTTTTTGGGTGGGAATCGAACCCTTTTCGCATTGGTACAGATCACATGTTATTCATCTTGTCATCTAACCACTTAGACATAGAAGTCTACTGCCTTAAACTGGCAGAATCTCCAATATAAAGCTTGTACTCTTTGATAGCGCTTTAATAAGGCCTTGAATTAAATATTACAATTCTGATAATATTGGACATACAGCAGCACAATACAAATGTAATTCGATCCATATCCAACCAATGTCCACTTCAAGGTCACAATGTTCATAACAATCAATCAGAAAATTCCTGCAAAATCAGTCTCAATCAACAAATTCCATAACACATTCCATCCTTTAATCTGTCACATTTTTCATCAAAGCTCTTCTTTTTCTCTCGCTTTCAGCATTAGATTGAATTTATGAGATTTATATTGTTCGCTATTAAAGATGAAGAGAATCCTTTAAAGCATTGTCATCGTTACATCTGCATTAACATGATATTATTTTCTAAGCGATTTTGCTTTTCTTAAATCTGAAGCTTTTATTTGATCAGTGATATGTAAAGCTTTAGTCTAAGCTTATTGGACATTCTAGAATGCACTTCAGACATTGTTATCTAATTTCAATTCTCATGTGATTCTTTCGAAAGCTTAGCAAAGACTCGAACAATATTTTCATAAAATCCTTCTAATTAGTTCCATACTACCTACATGCTTAAGGTGCTGGAATAATATTATTGCATATCAACAAGGGGATGAAAATTCTATTCCATTAATATTTTCTGAGAAGATTATGAAATTATTTTTGGAATTATTTCAAGGAAAATAAAATTAAGAAGATCAACCTTGTTGAATGAGAAATTTCACTTGAAAATTGGCAGATTTTTTACAATAATTAATTCTTTGAATAATTTGAAGAGATCTGTTATTGAAAATTCAAAAGGCACTTATCGAACCAAATTATGTAAATTACATTTTTATTTTTAAATATTCATTAAAAAATATTAATAATAAAAATGGAATCAAACAATTTTTTGATATTTCATTTCTCAATAACTTTTAAATTTAATGAACCTTGTTAAAAAATATTCATTTGATCTGAAAAAAAAAATCATTAATGAGATTTTTTGTTTTGTTTTTTTTAAAAAAATTCGACATGAAACACCATTTTTATTAAAAGTTTCCAAGGCAATATTTATTAGCTTTCATCAAAAAGAGACTCAATAAAGTCAAGCAAATATGCAATCACAACAAAATTGATTTTTGAATGATGTCAAAAGGAATACCTAGAAATTGCTCGTTGTTAAATATTTTAATAACTTGTTTAATGATTATATAAATTTTAATATTGCGTCATATCAAAGAATGAAGCCATAAATATCCAAATAGGTGCAGTGGTCATGGACTTTGCTTAATGATCAAAACTAAATGGTGCAAAGTATAACTAAGTAGTATCTTAGTGAATAAGAATGGGTGCAACAGGGTGCAACATCTTGTCAGGTGTTTCCTCTCATGTCAAAACTCTAGAACCCTTCCCAGCCGTCATGGTTTTATCGGGTATTTTAAAACATTTATTTGAGCTCAATTAATCAATTCAAAACTTCCAAAAGCACCAAAAACAACCACTAAAACAGTGTTGTCCAATCTTTGTTGAGCCACGGCACACCTTAGGGGTAAGCCATTACCAAAGTCTGACACAGCATGCGGCTAACGTCATTTCCAAAAAATTTCTACCGCACATCAGTGAGCCGTGGCACACAGTTTGGACAACACTGCTCTAAATGATTAAAAGAACATTAAAAAGAAGCCATGCATCGGTTCCACACTTATTCACTTTACACGTCAATTCAACTGATTCACAGACACGTTTAAGCACAATAAAATGAAAAATAAGAAGCAAGCAACAGCATACAAAACTCTTATCAATCATTTTATGGATTGAAAAATATTTATTTTCTATCGAACACAATGGAATTGTTAACAATGGAAGTAAGCTAGCGATAGTGTCAACGACAACATTTCATTGAAATTTACTTAACGAAATGACAATCTGTCGATTACTTTTCCATCAAAGATTGAAAATCTACTGTGAGAAAAATGTATTAGTGATTGTGCTGGGTTTTAAGGTGTTGTGGATTAATCAATTTCAAAGATGTAGCTTTTGGGAGGTACCAAACGCCAAATTCTGTATTTTTATTGAAATTGTGTTCAATATGTTAAGGCAGAGTTAAAAAATAATGTCAATCTTTTAACAAGTATGAGATCTCGAATTAATTGACAGACATGAGTGGATTTCTGTAATGCAGTGATGTACAACCTTTCCTGTGCCACAACATATAGGTTGCCGACTCTAGCTTTCGTTATACATCATCTCCTAATCCACATCCGAGATTCGTTTCCCCAGTAAGAAAACTTTTATGCTTTACATCCATCTCGAGAATCATTTCTTGTTTGAATATGATTTAGGATCGAATAAAATATAATTTTTGACATCATACTTTACCTCTTTCTTTCTTTTACTTAAAAACTTCCTTTTTCCTTCCTTTCTTCATCTCCTTACCCAATGGGTGCCTACAACAATGTAGACCGTTATTTTTTCTAAAATTCAAACCTGTTTCGAAAAAATTCGAAAAATAATTTTTTATAAAAAATTTTGAAATTTTAAAGACCGTTAAATTTATTTATGAACAAAAATCAATTCTTCGACGCAAATTTGTTTTTTGAATGTAACCATCGACAATGAAGCTAAAGTTTTGATCGAAAAGTTACAAAAAATAATATTAAATTTTCAATAGTCTTTGAACAATGCTCAAATGGAATTTCAACCTGACTAAGAACAATATCTGAAAATTTTGTCTTGAATGTGTTACAATCACTTATAGCAGAAATTTCACTTCCGTCGACACTTATGTTGTTTGATTTTAAAAATAACAACCATTTATCTTTGTTAAATGAGTGCTTAGGTACTTTAAAAAGATTTGTAATTGTTTTATTTTTGTTGCAGCTTGCAATTTTGCAGGTTTTACCCATAATTAATGAAAATTAATCAAAATTTTACTGATGTAAACAAATATAATTTTTTGATGAAATATTTTTAACGGAATTTCATTTTTTGAAAAAAATTCAAATTCGAATTTTCGATTTCGAAGAATAAGGACCATTTTCGAAGAATAAGAACCATCGGCACCCATTGGCTCCTTACGTAGTCTTTTTTTTTTTTGACGAGGGTCAGACTCACTCGCACGTACAATGAGAATAAAGAATAAAAAAGGACAAGAAAGGAACTTAAAATATTTTTGAATGATTGATGTTATTATGTTTACGTTCCTCGAAAAGTTTTGTGTTGAGGCAACTGGCACTGGAAGGATATCTGATCGGAAATTGAAATAAAAGTTTTTTGTTCCAAAATCATTTAATCATTTCCTTGACTCTACTATTTTGAATTCACCAAAATATCCAGCCAACTTCCAAAAAGTACATCCGTTAATCTGTTCCCAAAAATCCAAAACTACCATAAATCAACAAAAGCCACTAAACATTGTTAAAACTAAAAATTCCTCTTTTCTCTCATTTTAGCATTATTGTCCGGAACATTACGAACATATCAGCGCGCAGGCTGTGATCATGAATATTTGCAATTAAGTTGCCCACGCGGTACAACAATTTCCATAGAATTCGTACAGTATGGTAAATATGGCATCAATGGAGCTGGATTGTGCCCTGATACCACAGAAAATACACAAAGTGATGCGAATGTTATTACATCAGGAACGGAGATTGAAATAAAAGCAGCAGAGAAATGCATGTGGCCTCAGGCATTGCAGGTAAGTTGTGGGAAAATGGGTATTAATTTATTACTCGACGTGGATTTAATTTGAGTGATTCTTGGAAAGAAAGATTGAATATTTATTTTCGAGATGGAAATGCTGACGTAGTCTCTATCAGGTGGATAATATAATATTTCTCATACTTGATTTCTGAGAATTAATAATGTCCAATCGAGTTATGACCGGATTCAGGACATTGCACATATTTTTTAAATTTAACTATCTACACTATTGGCACAAGTAAAGCAACACTCTCAAACAATAAACTTAATGAGATTAGTAATGGAAATCATAAAATTTAATCAGGCACAAGCCAAACAAATGAGATTACTACATAATATTAAAGCATTTACAAAGACTTTTCATTACATTAAAATTCGACTTCAATTTCAACATAATTAAATTAATTTATTCAAACAAAATCATCAACAAACAACTTTGTGAGATGATTTGCAGACATTATCATTACAAAATGAACAACATGTCATATGTATTCAGTTACTCATTTCACATTCTCTTATATTATTGCTATTAAATTGTTATTATCCTGCCTAGGAGGAAATTGAGTAAGTTCAAGAATTGATGATGAATTCTGTGAATTTAATTGCTATTATTATTGTTGTTGTCTACACTTTTAATCTTCTGATTCAGGCGCGTATCTAGTCAAGGATGTGGCAAGGATGCTTAGCACTCTGAATTTAGGATCAAAAACTTTATAAAGTTGTGGAATAGTTTTCAAAAATTACGAACAAAGTTCTAATCCAGGCCTGGAAACTCTGGGATACATCCCAAAATATTTCACTTTTATATGAAGGTATTCCAAAAATTCCGGGTATCCCAAAGTATCTTGCAATTTGTATGAAGCATCCCAAGTATTCTAGTGTTTCCAGGCCTAAGTTTTAATCAACATGACCAAAACTGACAAGCTGATCAGTTCCTTCCTATTATTACACACTTATTACATATATCCATTTTTACCATATTCCCATCCAACACAACTCAGATCTCTAAGACACAAGACACACTCGAACCAAAAATAACTTCCAACTTGAAATAATATAGAAAACCTTAAGACAGAATTAGGATGTCTTCGTTAGACCGAATTAGAATTTCCGTTCCTGTGAGGTTTCGAGAATCGCGAATAGAAATGGAAATGAGATCCTAGAAAAGAAATATTCTCGATTTTAGAACCCCTAAGCAGAATAAACATTAATGAAGTGTTTTCATCACACTCCAAAGAATGAACAATGCGCAAACAGCCACGTAAACAATTTCAAGTGCTGTAAAAAAAATTACAACACAATTTGCATCAATATGTTGTTCCTATTGCTATGCAAAATGTTCTATTTTCATGTATGAGAAATATAATTTTAAAGCGCAAGGATGTGAAGAGGAAGTGACGAGGAAAAAACATCTGATGACAAATGAGCAAATTGAAAACCATAAATTTTCATTAAATTGATTAACAACAATGTGGAAATTATGCGACATTTATTTATGTTTTTATGGGATATGTGTGATGCGATAACATTTATATGTGGATGTGGGGATGTTAAACAGGGATTTATGCTGGTTTATGAGTTGATTTAATTTTTTACTATAAAAAAGGCGTTTTCGTGAAAGGAAGGTTAAATGTCTAAAGATTGAGGGAGAATTTAAAAGAGATTCGGAAGTTCAGACGCTGTTCATGCTGTTCGACATAAATTATGCGAACCCTAACCAACCAACCCCATCCGAAATGCATCAAAAAAAGTCATCAAATAAATCAGACATAAAAAATATTTCATTTATCAATTTCTCTAGCCCCATATTTATGTTCATCATGCTTGATACTTTAACCAAGCTATTGTTGCTGTTTCTTTTATTATTATCATATCATTTTTTATATTTATTTGACATAAATGTATGACCGGCATGATGGGTAATCGTCTCATATAATGTTTTCCCATATATCTTCGTACCCTCAAAAAAAAAATTCCAGGCCATGCCCAAAAATCAAAATTCATTGCTATTGTTATCATCATTGTCTCACTCCTTTTTTATAAAAATTGTCACTAAAATTGATCTCAAAACAATAAAAAAGAGACTAGGGGATGGAAAATAAAGCTCAACTATTGAGCATAGAAAAAAAAACTTTATTACAATGTGCCACATTACGCATGGGACAAGTTTGATGTTGGTGATAAAAAATATATTTTTTTTGGCAATAGCCACAAAGTCCCCAAGGAACAATTTTTACTTTATATGACACATTTTTATCCAAAAAATATATGTGTCAGAACTTGAATGTCGATCATTTGTCTATTCATGTGACGGCCTGTCATCAATTTTTATACATATTCAGATTTATTTCCTGGTGAACAAACCAATCAAGGAAGTATGATTTTTGGGAATGCTGAAAAATGAGGCTTTCGAATGACAGCTGAGTCTGTTGTGATTCTTGATTTTTAAGGGTAGCTATGAGAGCTTTAAGGTTGTGGAAAGCTTATGAATCAAATTTTTAACTAACCTAATCCTCCTCCCCACTTCTGGTTCAGACGATTACAGAACAGAGCATGGCCAGAAATGTATGGCAAAAAATCATTGTCCCTTAATTTTTCCACTGGCTACGCACCTAGAACTTCCTGCCAATGAACTTCAAATGTTAAAACCACAAAAAAATCTCAACATATTAAATTTCACAAACTTTCTCATTTTTTATATATCAGATATAAAAATATTTGTGTCCATACATGTGGATGTGGTTAATACAATGGCTTAAAAATAAATTGAACTATTGCCGTACTCTGTGGCTAAATGGCTCTTCCAACTATCCCATACAACACTCGTCTCGTTTCCCAGGAAGAAAAATATTTGAAAATTTATGACATGAAATATTGACGAACTAAAAATGCCACAATTTCATGCTGGTTACAATAAAATGAAGTACATTGCTTCCGTTTTGCTGCTTGATGCAGCAATAATTGTTTATTGTTGTATAACAGATTGAAACCATTTCAGCACACCACCCACTAAATTTTCATGTAAAACATGCTTACTGCTTCCCTCATTCATACATATTGGGTTCAATTATACTCATGCCAGATGTGCAATCCACTCAGCTATCGCAATTTTTTTCATTTAGCAAGTCAATCTCAGATTTTTTTGTCATTTTCACATGCAATAATAGATGTGAACAGTTTGAATAATGATGAGAAGACAACTGGATATAAGAATAAATGAACAGAAAAGTGCTGACTTTGATCATTGAATTGACAAATTTTCTATTGATGCTGCCATGTGACATTCTTTGATTATCATTGTTATTTACTATAACTGACATTACTGGGTTGAGAATCTACTTTGAGATGAATATAAATTATGGTCATCTAGTCTCATATTTCATGCTTGCTTTTGTCTTATGAGCTTTTATTAAAGAGCTTCTGTGCTTAAGATAACTTGGACTTTTAACGTAGAGATAAATTTTAATCAGCAGTAATGAAGTGTTCCTAGATTAATGAATATGAAATGCGGCATTCCTTTTAAAATTTATCATTCATTTAGTTGTTAATTTGATGGGAGACAAATGAGCATTTATAGTTTTAATAAAAATTAATGTGTTTGCTCTTTAATTGTGCTTTAATGATGAACTCTTTCCTGATGTCTTTCATAAGATGCCTAAAGTAAAATAATATACATGCTCTATTCATTAATAATAAACTTTTAATAACAATATTCAGAACAATTCTCTTTTTTCTGAATGCCAATGTTATATTTCAATATCAGATGTGAAGCTTCTATGGACATAACCAATTAGAACGGTCCTGAATTAACGTTCATGCTTGTAACTTAGAAAAACATACCGCAACTTATAATAAAAAGTTTAAAACATGAACATTCTATATCCAGACTTTCAAATCATCGTCACATCATATTTCTAATATAAAGCTCAAAACCATTGGTGCTACCATCCATTCAAAAAAGTTTAATTTCAACATCCACAGAATTAACTTAACTTTTTAATCCAATAAATGAACAAAAAGTATCTGCTAGATAGTTTAAAAGCACAGCGATGTCAAAATACATTCAATTGCAAGCATATTCATTGGAACTAACCAACTGTGACAACGCGAACATTTTTTCCGATTCCATAATTTTTTGGCAAGCATTTACTCTTTGTATTATAGACTTCATTTTGCACAAAAAAAATCTGATAATAATTTAATAAATTTATAGGTTATGAATCTGATTTAGGAGAGGATTTGACTAGTTGAGAATTTATTGTTGGAAGTCAAGAAGATGCAATCATAGCTCAGTGGGCTTGTGGGGTCACATTCTGTGCCAAAGACATCAATACCACACTCAACACACGAACTGAGCTTCGTAACTAGAACGAAATGGAAAAAGAGCTTGGAAAATTAGACATAGCTTGGGATTGAACCCAGGACCTTTGGCATGGAAGGCCAACGCTCTACCATTTATGCCACTGATGCCACTTTCGACCATACTCAAAATAAAAATACCAAATAGTCAGTTGACCAGATCCATATTCTCGAATCTGACCAACTTAAGGTTGGGGTTCTAAGCTGTCAACACCTTATTCTCTCTTTTTCTTGCTAAAATATAAGCTCCAACCTCTTTAAGTGTAACCCCTGCCAAAATTCATAAAGACAATTTGTAGTTGTAACTAGATATAGATAACAGCGGTAGCTATAAAGAAACAAACAATTAATAGACATAAAAAGTGATGATTAATCATCAGTAAAATGTAGAATAGTAAAAAAGACATAGCAATTTGTATAAATGAGTGCACACAAAAAAGGAGGAAGTTTATCTCATTTTTTTATTGCTGTCGACAATTCTTCAAGCCTTTTTTTAAGGTCATAAATTGTTTTTCCTCATTTCACTTTAATCAACATCAGCATCATGTTGTGCAGGCTTGTTTTTATTTCTATTTTATGAACACTATGCCGCATTTATATTGTTAAAAAAAATTGAGAAAATATTGCTTCTGGTTA